TATTTCAGGCCCGCGGAAACCGCCGTATCCAACGTGGCGGCGTTGCCCGTGGAACAAGAGGGACGATACACGAACACACACGCGAAACGACAGATCTCCACGGGTAAATAAGCGTGGACACGCCCGTCGCAATTACACGAGTGCCTGCGAGTATAATAAGCCGTGCGTCTCATTGTGATTTATGCCACGAGTCTGTCTTGCCCCGCATCAAGAAACCACCTCCTCCGATGTGTCCTCTTGCATTTCGAATTCGCGGCGCGCACGGCCGCGATCCTTCGAATTCACTTGACCTTTAGTTCGTCTATTTGATAATAATCATATTAGACATATACCTATCGATGAGTAGACCTGTATTAGTCTTTTGGAAAATCAAAAATTCTGCGATCTTTGAAACAGGAGAGGTTCTTCTATATACTATAGTTTCCTAACATTTTTGGGTCACTGTCCACTTTTCAAATTTTTTTTTGTTCAATGTTTCCTTCGGGTAAACTATCTCTAGTATCAAAATGTCCAAGTGTCTTTACGCGAGTAATCGTCGAATCTTGAAAAGTTCGATCGAAAGTAAAATAAATAAAATAATTGTAGAATGCACCTGAAATCTTCTCGACGCCCACTATTGAGTGTAGCGCCCACATTAGGAACCTTATGGTCGTATACGTTCACGAACGAACATTGTCCAAACGATTTAATAAGGTGTGATCTTCACACTAGATTCGACCAGAAGAAGTTTACACGAAGCATTACATTGGCATCGATTTCAATTAATTTTCTTCCATGCATTACAAATCCAGGGGATGTTTCCGCGGAACTTATTTCCAGAACTGTGCGCACACAAATCCCTGCAGCAACTATTACACAGAACAGGTAACGCAAAAATTAATCATCAGCGTAAACCCTGGCCTGGATACGATTATCTCTCCTAATGATTGATGCAGAAGAAGAAGTAAATGGCTTGCAAGTGGTTGCGAACCGGCCTTGAAATCCGCGAGCCCAGCGTGAGCAGTTCGCGAAATATAATTTATCGTCAAAGAAAATCCGCCATAAATCGTGTGTGTAAGGAAGGGGAGGGGGAGCCCCTTATCTCGGGGCCCACGTGTCATTAATCGTTCGACCCGTAGAGGTGGAAACCAGCTTACATCTCGGTCGATAAATCCGGCCGGGGCTAAACAACTCGTCAAAATCCTGACACGTGACCCGCACGACATGACAGGCGTCATGGGCATCGCGTGTCGCGCTCGACCGGTCTAATACTATTCGGTTACATGTATTATTCAATCAGCCAATAAGGAAAACACGCCATTCATGCGGTGCCCCGATCTCTCTCTCTCTCTTTCTCTCTCGCTCTCAGGGCACTGTCCGTCGAACCATCCGTCTGTCCTCTGTGTGTAGTGCGTACCCGAGCGTGTCTCTGTTCGTGATACGCGTACCGGAGAAGGGCACTCGTAAATGAACTCGCGATCGTGGAAAATTGTCCTTGACAGGGTCTGTCGAAGGTTAATCACGCGGATTGAGCGGTTACGCTGAACGAGACTCGCCACGAAAAAGAAACACGCGAGACCCATCGATTTAAATTGCCTGACTCCTTCGTTTCCGAGAGGTTCCTTCTCGTTTATTTTTTTTTTGTTCCCAGTCGTGTCAAACGTGTTTATGAATGAATATTCTTTGTTGTCGAGAAACGTAGAGGGTAGGGATCATAGAATCTAGAGACAATAATTTAAAATTGTAAAAACGATAACATCGTCGTGAAGGGAAAGACAGCTAATCCAGCGAGTGGACTCTCGGATCGGCCATTACGGTGGTGTTGTAGTTCCATCGTTAAAAGGAAGTCGAGGATCGTGAATGGACCGGCAGTAATAACGAGCTCCTTACATCCAAGATTACACGCGAGCAGCTCGGAGCGGTCCGCTGCCGGCTTACAAGCGCTATAAAGCAATAAAAGTCGATTCGCCTGGTTGAATACCAGTCAGGTGATGTATCGCTGCTTAGCGCCCACGTAACCAAGCTATGCTCGCGCCCGTGATAGAGGAAGAGCAGCAACGAACGAGATCCTGTCAGTTTTCATTTATTTTTCGCGCGTTCGCCGGGTTCCAGTCGTCTGCCGCCGGTCAAATTATCGAATCATCGGGGGCGACGTGCGCGCGCGCGCGCTTACAGTGGCTCGAACACTCGCTGACGCGATTCGCCGATTATCTTCCTCGTCAATCTCGCCGACTTTCCGTCGACAAATTGATTCACCGCTGATTACCTCGATTCCCCCCCGGGACGCGCGATCGCTTATTACGCGGGTGCCGGCTAAATATGTAATGGACAACGAATGGCAGAAACGTTAAGAGGCGAGGAAAGCGGAAACGCGCGTGCTAAGCGCCACTTTATTAATAACCGGCCACGTTTTTGCGCACGGTTAATCCGGTTCTTTACCAGCTTCCCTTTCGTCCACTTGGTGAACCTGTGGCGCTTGGTCGCTGGAAAAAATGTAATATATCGTTGCTCTGGTTCTTAATTGTTCTATCTCCACTAGTTTGTAATCTGGGAAAACTGGGTTCAAAGTTTGTAGAGGTTAATATTATAGAAGCAGGAAAGTAGTGAAATAAACTAACATAGTACAGACTCCTCTCGATTATCGCCGGTTCTACACGATTATTGTCCAGGCGTTATCCCCACCAGTGAGTTAGGGACGATAATCGAGAGGAGTATGTAATATCGTCTACTGAATGAGCTGTCTATTAGAAGATTTTTCAACATAATTGTTGCTAGTATTTGGAGATGCAACCAATAAGAAAAAAAACTTTCAATGTTTCGGAATTAGAAAACAAAAAAATAGAAAATTATTCTAAATAGAATAACAAAACATGCAAAATAGAAATAATTTGTGTATATTGTGAATCACTTCGTCGAACAACGTGTAAGAATTTTTCTCCGCTTGTTTATCAGACCTAGGAATACGGATAATGGACGTGGACTGTATACTGGGATAATTCACAGAGATTTTATACATATAGGTACGTTGACTACGGTTTCTTTATTTACCGTCTCTAAGTGTTAGTTTCTTTGTCCTCCACTGTCTCTATAGATTTGTCGTTTACATTCCTGTTCGCGTTCAATTCGTCCGTCATTGTTCCTGTGTGCCGTAGATTCGCCTGACAACCAGTGTGGCCCTTTTTATCCTTATTCTTCTTGGATTTCACTTTTTTCGAACCTTTATGAAGCGAATCCAATTTCGAGCAGGAAGTCTTGCTGCAGTTCATCAAGGCGCTCTCGCATTTTTTCAGATTGCACTTGAATCCTATCGCCCTCCTAGCGTGTATGGTCTTGCAGATATCTTTAAGTTTCTTCATGGACTTCCTGGTGCCTCTCTTAAAAAATAATGACCAGAATATGCATAAAGAAAGCAACAACGTTGTTACTCGATTAGATGGAATTGTACATAAATAATTTCCAGCTGAAGAAAATCGCTTTCTCAGGAAAAAATCGTATGATCTGTTCAAGGTAAATTGTCGAGCAAACGAGAACAGGTGTGAAATATGCGATGAACGTTAAGTCACGCATATCTTTATATTAGTTCTGAATGCTTGAACGAGAAAATAAACTTCATTGTGTATTTTCAACGTTAGTCTCAACATAATAATACTACCTTCACGTGCTTCGATATTTGTCTAATCTTCCTTTTGCTCCTCTTCATTCTAGACGCCAGTTTATTCTGCTTCGCCGAAGTACACACAGTGAATTTGTAACTGGAATATCAATTAGTATATCCAGTAGACGCTTAGATAGTGATTATATTAAACGGAGATTAAACTCTGAACCTTGGGGCATCATCATCTTTGATCCCTGTGCAGAACTTCGAACAGCCAGCCAAAGACTTTGATGGCTTCTCAGAACAGCCTGTTTCTTTGAATTTTGGCTTCTTGTGACTCTTCGACGATGTTTCTTTTGGTTTCGACAACTGTCCGCTTGTCTTAGTGTCATGAACGCAACCACCACCAGAAACCACCGGTTGACTCTTATTCAAATCAGTCGAAGTCGCTGATTTCTGCTTATCTTCCTGCTTCGGAGGCTCCTTTAACTTTACCTTACTATTCTTCTGAGAGTCTACTTTAATTTTATCTGCCTCTATTTTATCTGCCTCTATTTTATCTGCCTCTATTTTATCTGCCTCTGTTTTATCTGCTTCGTTGCTTGGCTCTTCGTGCATTCCACTATTGAACAAAATCCCCCCTTTGTTCGCGAATTCAATCACTTACTTGACTACTTTCTTTTTAATAATGTTAACTCCTTAACATTCTCCACTTCATTCATTTCCGGGTCATTCATTTTAAGAAGATGAAACTTTCTGATTTAGATATTCAGAAATGCTTCTTCGCAGTTGACCACAATCATTTATAATTTTCGCGATCTTTATGATACAGTCAACCGAAATCAAAAGTCGTTTCGCGTGGAATAGATGCTTTCAGCGGAACTAGAGGAGGTCGAAGGCGGCAATCGAAGTAGCGCGCATTCACGAAGTATCAGAATTGTTTTCGTGCCCATCTTCAAGCCCTCACCGCTTGAGGGTACGGGGCACCTTGCGATTATGATAATCCGGTCCATATCATTGCCCTATGGCATCAAGAAGAAATATTTAACATTCATAAAGATTCCATTGAAATTGATTCTATCCTATCAATCACTACTGTATATATAAGTGATTTAGTCGAAATTAATCGAGCCATTTTTCAGCTCTAACCTCGATTGCTTCTGTCTTTCGCCCCCGTTTCCATAGCCTCTTCAAAGCTCGAAAGCATCTTGAAATCTTACGACGAAACTTATCCACTTATAAATGTTATTCGAAACGGTATCATGGTGTGAGAAAATAGACTCTGCAAGGAACGATCAACTGAAATTTGTACGATCACGTTGGAGTAGACCGAATGTGGTTTCGCTCTATCGACAGATCTGGTACCATCGAGAAATACACGAGCTTCAACTTTTTTCAGGTTTTTATTTTTATTAGTTTACAGTCTCTACGGTCTACTCTCTAAATAGGTGCTTGGTTTCTGATGCCTCGAGGACGATTTGGTGGGCTTCATAGCGAAGGTTTTTGTCATCAAGGACTTAAGACCCTTCGGCTTCGTCATAGTGCCGTTTACAAGGTCCTGAAAAAACAAATATATTACGATTAATTTTTATCCCGCTCGTAACGATCACTTAAGAATTTATTTTTAGCGCTACCGCAAGTATATCCATAGAGGTGCTCGTGTCGATGGTAACGGCTTTCTTGCTCGCTGTGTTCTCGCTACTGAACGTTCTCTTCGATCTCTTCGCGAGATCGGTCGAACTCCTGTCCTGTTTTGACTCTCTTGGTAGCTTAACTGAAACGGAACATTTCGAAAGGATTGATTATTATCGACTGTCAGATCGTGTTTTCAGAAGCTTCGGGGAATCTTACGCGCAGAACTAATCCTATCCTCCATCGTGTTGAACAGTCCACTTATGCTTGGACGCGGCTCAAGATCATCGTCCACGGTCTTTATTTCTTTCGGAGTACGATCATCGGATGAACAGGTGGTTGGACATTGTTTCTTGCAAGAATCATCGCTTCTGAAGGGAAACGAATGACGATAAACGCCGCGTGATTTATCAATTACCTTCGTTAGTTCAATGCTCACTTTGAATCGTGAAATTCCAAATTCGGGATCGGACTATTCGAGGAATCCTTATATTTCCTCGTATTTTCAAGGAAACTTTCCACATACGATTCTTCGAAATCCTCTTCGTCGTCAGTTACATTTACCGAAGCTCGCTTTAAGGCCGGTGGCAGAAAACCATCCTCCTAAAATTGAAAATTCATCGTGTACATATCATCTCGCATTATTAATTCGGTTGCTAATGATCGTGCAACCATATTTTCTTCCATCATTTTCAATGTAATCATGGTCCCATCCAAGTAACCATGCAGGTGGGGCACTTTTGTGTCGCAACAGGTGAAGTCCATCTTCTTGAACATCTTCCACCAGCAATATTCATCGTCCAGGAAGGTTTTCAATTTCGTCATCTGTTTGATCGAATTATTCACTATCAGTCGAGCGCTGTTTAAATCAGTCACTACCAGATCTTGCGTTTGAGTAGTGCCATCCTTCCTTCTGGAGGTCTCCTATTCCCCGAAAGATTATTTACATTTGCGACTTCTCTTTTGAACGCTTATTACTCGAGTATTTAACGATCTTTCAGTTCGAATCCCTATTTAAAAGGAAACGTTACTTGTTTTCCACGTGATTGGCAGGTTTCTAATTCCTGGATGCTTTTCTTCAAGTTCTGTATCTTGTCCAACAGCTTCTGAGTGTTACAGAACGTTGTCTCCGCCTGTAGCTTAGCGTACTTGCATTTTCCCAGGTCGCAAGCCTCTTTCGGTTTCCGGATCGCCGAACGATAACGATAATCTTGCTGTGGACTGTTCACTGGAGGAATGGGGGTGGAAGTATTCTCGCAGCATCCTCGTTTTGGTTCCTGTCAACGTATAATCGCAACTGCACTAACCGTTGCGTTACTCTTTCGACATATGTAATACGGAAAGTCTGCGGATATCGAACGAATAAATAATTCTCAAAGACGCTATAATCCTCGGAAAAGTTTCGTTCAATGGCTGAAAATAAAGTACTGTAAAGTGTCAATTAGGTTACGTGCCATCCACGTCGGTGTTTCGTTTCCCCTTCTTCAGCAAACTCTGACATCGACTTCCGATCTAGGGTACGGTATCATCGTTTCAAAGTATTTCCTACTTCATGTGTATTCCATAATTCTGATCAGTATGTACAAGAATTTTCCATCATGTTGTTAATATTAAATCCACAGGATTAAATCTATTATTCATGATGACGGTAGCGTCATCTGTTTCACACGTTGCCTGTGTCGAGAGAACGCTAAAACCGTCGATAACAAAACATTCTACTATCTAATCGGAATCTGATCAGAATTTGTTTGTCATCCATTCAGAAGATCAGCCAACTGTCTGTGGCTTTCTTAAATTAGAGCACAATGGAAACCCTCCATTTTACACTGAAAACACCTTTCTCCGAGCACAAAAACCGACTGTCCGGTCCAGGAGCGCGTCACAGCGATCAAATTGCACGTGGAAGCGACTTTTAAACGGCTCGTTTACCATAACACGAGCTTCGAATCGCCCACCTCGAAATCTCACGAAACCGCTCTCGTAGGGCCCCGCATAATTGCATTATACGAGAAGAGGCTGAAAGCGTCGGAGCTCGCGGTGGCCGGTTAACAATGCGGAAACGTGACAAAAAGTCAACAAGATTGTCGCCGGCGGCGGATTCAGTTGGCTCAAGCACCATGGTTTTTTCCCATTCATTTGCAAAGAAGGAAAACGGCCACAATGACACGAATGGGGATCGTTTTCTTGCGAACACGTCGCAGGCTCGTCGAGCCACGATGCTCTTCCGTAATTTCACCGGTGTTCGAAAGATTTTTCGGTAGAACGCGCGTTCTTTTGCTCGTCATTGTTCGCGAGACACGGATTCCTCGAGATTTCTTTACGAAGTCAGCGCAGCAACCGTGAACTCACAAAAAGATCCTCCATTGCAATTTGCACGACTGTCTGCAACGGTTAAAAAAAGCATTCGCTATCAATCACCTTACTCTATCTTTACTAAACTAAACTATAGAATAATATATCTGATAAATTATTCATTTTGTTTGAAATATTTATTACAGAAGATCTATGTAGCTTTTTCTTCCACAAGTTTGTGATTTATTTTTAATTGCTGTTTAAAGTAGAAAAGTACGTTTGATGGAGGAAACTGATAGCTTTAAGTAGCTTGATTTCACTTTTACAAGCATAATTGAAGTAATTGATCGAGTGCAGGGAGAATTCAAAGCCGTAAATCTTCATCGAATCGATTGTCTGGGTTGGTCTAGCGCGGCGAGGACGAGACCCACCCTGGAAATTGGATCATTCAATTGCAAAAGAGACGGTCTGGGGAAGAGGGGTGGCCTCACGCTCGATTTTTCAGTGTCGCCCCGATCTGCGCCGCGTTTTTTTTTCCCAAACCACGGGGTTTTTCGACGTGAACCGTGAAAATCGTCGGAGTATCGTGTCACGAATTTCCATTTCAAACGACTCTTTAGACCGAACGTTTCACGTTAACACCGCTGTTCGTCGCGACGAATTCGACGCGGGAATTCCGGTGTCCGCATTCCTTCCATTCAAAAGCGACCGTCTCTTAACGAAAGAGAATAAAAATTACAAATTTCCGAGGCTCCTATTCTAGATAAATACAATGATTAAACGTTCCATTGGACCTCCCACTTTCTACGGCCAGACTTCTAACAAGACAACCCCTCTTTTTCACCCTTGTTAAATTTTCTTGAATAATTTTCAGTTGGACCACCCACTCTCAGCTCTATTCGATAGTAGATAATTCTGAAATTAGTTTTATCTTTCATACTCATAAAAATTATTGACTGATCTAGAAAATATGTCTCTCGGCACTCTTCCAGTCGCTTATTAAAGTTAATCATGTACAAGGGTATACTTGCACCCCATGCATTTCCAGTGCGAACTGTAAAGAAAAATTATATAGTTTTTGTATAATTTTATTGATATTTAAGAAGATACAAATTTTCTTCAAATTGCATGTGAAACATTATCACAGATAGCATTCCTAAGAAAATTTTGGAAATTTTCCATTCGGGAACGTTCTTATTAGAAAAAGTTAAATCCCTTAAATTCCATCTATGATCTCTAATTCTGAATAATAACTTCAGTAGATCGAACCTAAAGATTCAAAGGTCACCACAAAGCATCCCTCTTCGAATCACATCCCCCGTTCTAATTTATTGCCAATGACAGATCCACTGGATCAGCCTTGCATCGACTTTCAACCCTTTTGCGTGATCCTTCCGGCCAACTCTCGTCCCGTAGATCGCACCCCGAGAATCCAGCAACCACCGTGGAGCATGCCACCGCCCCATAAATCTTCCCGGAACGGATTGTTTGCAAACGTTGCGTGATCTGAAAGGAGGAAGCAGAGATTCCGAGGGGTTTTCGAGTCAACGTTGGATGACTCGACCTTTAACTGGCTTGTGTGTCGCGCATAGAATTCGGCGTCGGCCCGCAAAGACGCAGGCGTCTAAGACCATTTGTCGCGATACGGGAGATCGCCGTGATCTTCCGCCACAGTTGACAGGTACGAAACAGGTAAATGCGCCGCGGGATCTCACCCCCTTTTGCCGTGTTTTCACTTACCGACACGGAGCCCCGGGGACAAAGGGACGCGGGACGATTCAAAGATCGCCAAAGCCAGCCGCAAAGTCAAAATAAAGTAATTGTTGCCCCTTTGTCGACCTCCTCTTACATCCACCCACCACCGTGTTCTTCTTTTTTTTTCTCTTCCTTTTTTCGGCTCGAGATGGTCCCCTGAAAGCGAGAAAACCATCTCTCCCATTGATGTGTCGGGGTGAGAGACTCGTGTGTTGGGGTAGATACTTACCGATTGATTCCCTTATCTTTACACTTCCATCGAAAATTTTCTTTCGTCGGTAACAGAGTGAATTTAAATTATTTTTTCAGTCGTCTTTAATGTAAACAAGTGTACGCTTAATTAATTTAGTAATAATCAGAGCACGTATAAAGAAAGTTTGAAATGTGTGCTTCTGAGAAGACAACACATTTGAATAGATGTCTAGAAGAAGAGCGTATGTTACACCAGCTGATTCTCTAATTGTTACAGTGAAGCAATAGATTGTTTTTACATTTCCCTGTAAATTTTATGAAACGTAACATACACCCTTCTTCTATACACCCATTCTTACTAGTTACCCATTTGACAGACATACGCTCATCCCCTGTTTTCTCAAAGTGTAAAATCCGTGTTGTTCAAGGGCACAGTTACACGTATATTCATAACAAACCATACGTCAAAGCCGCTTTCATTAACCAATCCCACGACACAAGACGGCTTTTAAGCCCGCGAGATAATGGAATGTCGAATGATCCCCCTCCCTCGTCCTTCGAAGTCGCCAGAAAATTTGCCACACGGGGCCCGGTTGGCCCCTTTGAATTTAAAGACGCCCTTTCAGCGAACGAAACGAGGCGGTGAATTTTTTTCATCTTTTCGTGCGACGTACGAGCTACGTGCCACGGTCGATGTCTCTGGATCAGCACGACTTGATCACCTTTTATGGCTTTCCCAGGACAAGATCCTGAGGACCGCTGTGAATCGAAATGGAGGACCTCCTACGGTTATATCCGAGAGTCTCACCACTGACTCTGTCCTCTTTCTCTCTCTCTCTCTCTCTCTCTCTCTCTCTCTCTCTCTCTCTCGGCTGCTACACGCCTGGCCGTATATCGATCGTTCGAAGATTGTCAACGCCATTCGTGATACAGTGAAAACCTTGAGAAACGTCCCCGACATCGGTGCGTCCCTCGCGCGACACTGATGCGAACACCTTGGGTGGTCCCCGCGACCAGCGGGTACGTTAAGGGAATAGATAAAAGTGCAATTCTAGGCGCGCACCTACTCGAGACGAGACTGCATTACGTTATATACTTTAACGCGGCTTTCGGATGGAACGAAAGAGCCACTCGGATGGAATGGACTTTCGATTCTACGGTGTTGGAAGGAAATTTAGTGCTCGGTACGGCCGCAAGTCGTTCCTGGTGTCTTGAATCTTCGTCTCGCGGGGAAACGAAAGGGGATCGATTCTTCGCGCGGTGCTATCAGAAATGTATATGGCTGAAGAGATTCGGAAAGGACGAGGTATATTGCGCTGGAGGAATACTCGAGGAACGATTTATGAAACTTAAATTTCGTACGAATGACTGTTCATTGTAACAAAAAAATATATACGAGCTTCTGTTTTGCAAGTTTAAACCTTTAACGCCCACTGTTGCACCGGTGCAACACTCGTTTTAAAAGTGCATCGAATTCTGGCGCCGGTTAATGTCCAACTTTTGTCAGGAAGGATCCGAAGTTTCACTGATGCGAAGTAGATATCCATGATTTCAAAAAATATATAAAAAAGCAAAGAAAATGTAAAAATACAGGTCTGTTTAATATCAATATTTTCGACTTCAAAGTAACAAAATATAACATATATAGTCTCATAATTTCGAAATAACGATTCCAGGGTGTGGGCGTTAAAGGGTTAACAATAAGGCTTGTACCAAATTGAATGTGATACATCACACACTTCGATACATAAAAATCTGATCAACATACACCCACACGACACATTTTTCTCCTGTTTAACTCAGTATTCACCCCTCGAGGACAGCAAGGAACAATATTCCTCCCTAAACCACTCGGAAAATCAGCTTCCATTCATTTCCAGCTCCCCAAGAAGAAAGCAACAGAACCCACCGAGACACGTCGTATTAATTCAATTAATCCGTGTCGCCGTGTTATTTACGATTCTGTCACGGATCAGCGAACGTCACGGTCTCGCGACGGATCGTATAGAATCGTCAATAGGCGGAATTTCTTGTAAGCAATCGGCCCGCACGTTTATGCCCGTCACAAAGTCGCGCGAACGTCGAAAGGAAAAGGGTGTAGACTGGAGACGCATCCTGGGTGGCCGTACCATAAAACGCGTTACGTTCTTAATATTATGCAGGACACGCAACTATATAAAGCGCTCCCAATTGTGTGGCCGGCCTATGCGACGATGGAGGAGGGAAAAAAGGCCTCTGGAGCGAGGAAAAATCCGCGGCGTTGGCCGAAAAAGGAACGGCGGAATGCCAACGCGAACGAGCTTCTCCTTTTCTGATGGAACCGCGTCCTCCTTACATACAGACCGTTTCTTACCGATTTTG